TCCTCATCTGGTGAGATCGACCAACGAATCTCTTCTTCATGCACTTTCATACGAAATGAAGGTCCCCCTACAAAATAATGAATTTTGTCATATCTTAGTGAAATAAGACTACCAATAATACTTTTTTCTATCTAATAAATTTTTTCAATTTAGTGTTATTTAAATTTTAGTAAAGGCATGCCCCGTCTTATGCGCGGGTACCCGATTAGCCGGTCTTCTTTAATTATATAATTAAAGAGGGGCCTTACCTTTATCGAAGGTTGTGTGAAAAATTCAGCATATCCCCCAAGAATAGATGTATCTTTGTCGTTGGCATATTTTGTCCCATTTTTCACTTCTTTAATTTCTGTAACCACTTTTCCTTCACAGCCACTTCCTACTTCGCCCACATCACCATCCTCTTGCCCCTCATAGATACTGGTTTCTGGTAATCGTTTTGAAGTTGCAACCAGGCCGTTGAAATCGACACTATTTCCGAAATCTTTTCCACTTTGCCCATCTTGTGAGCAGATTCTCTCGATCCGGTAATGATTCGCAGAAGCATCTGATGGAGACACGAGCTCAGACGCCTTCGAGCTAGACCTTTGATGCTGTTCCTGTGAGGATGGAGGCAGAGGCGTAAGCTCTTGTTGTGTATAAGATAGGGGAGATCTTAATACCTGTGAAAGCTGTCGCGGCAGAAACCCTGCTGGCAAAAGCTGAGGCATCGGTAATGGTGTTAGCTTCTGTTCCATGTCAGGCGGAATGTGATTACACGGTCTGGTCTGAAGTTCGATCGGTGGCGGTGACTGGTAACATGTGGCGACAGGAAGCATGAGACCGGATGGTAGCAAAATCACTTGTTGGCCTGCGGAGGGCATTGTGATCAGTGGAGCTCTCGGATTAAAGAGATAGCTGGCCTCTGACCCAGGATGGGCCATTGCAGCTTGCTCAACTCAGAGTATGTGTTATACTCAATGACACATGCAGCAAGAGGCTAATCTAAGAGAGTTTTGGAGACGCCTATTTTGGGGAGGGAAATTAGGAGAATATGCAGATTAATAAAATCTAACTATTGGAAGAGCAAATGTGGATAAGGATGATTGACACCTAAAAGCGAGATTTTTCGTCTATTATTGAACTTGGATTGCTGTTTTTTTCATTTATAAGAATAGGAAATAGGAAGCAGCAAGACGTAAGTTACAAACCCCATTCTGATTCACTTGTAACTTGGTTGGTATGCATTATATTTTTTGAGTAAGACTATCTGTAGGGCTCACTTTTTAGGAGAATCAGTTTTTAATAACCTTTTAATCAATATCATATTCATTATTCTAACTTGTTCAATTTAAAAAGGTGATAAACTTATCTATTCTTATGACTAAAGAGGCAGGACTCTCGTTTTCAATAATAGCCTCGGAGAAATCACCCAAATGGAAATCTCTTAGTGTAAACGGGAGATGGTATATATTGTACCTCGTTTTAGTGTCATCTACAAAGGTAGTACGTAGTCAAAGTGAAACAGCATAAAAGCAATACGTCGAACAGTCTGAATTGGCACAAAACATTCGATTCCACAACAACTATGTAAGCTAAGCAATGCTATAATCATTGAGGCAGGAATCTAGTTATAATAATACACTGTTGTTGCTATACTCCGTGAATACTTCAGGCGAGTAAGCATAAACGAATGGTAAGCAAAACAACCAACCTTCCCAATATGAATAACGGTTGTAGGAAATTGAG